GAATGTGGACAACTCTGTACATTTGTCAGCTAAGTCAGGAATGGAAACATTGAATTTATCTATATAGAATCTTTTCATAGATTTGTTGTTATCACTGGAGAACTTAGTTACATAAATTGATGAATAAATTACCATGGGAGAAATATTTCATATGTGACAGAGAATATGCTTGGTATGATTTCAGTCTTCTTAAATTTGTTGAGGCCAGATTTATTCCCCAACATATAGTCCACCCTTTTGATTGTTCTATGTGTACTGGAGAAGAATGCATAATCTGATGTTCTGGGATGAAAGGCTCTGTAAATGTCAATTATGGCCGTTTAGTCTAATGTGTCATTTAAGGCTAATCTTTCTTTGTTTATTATCTATTTGGATGTTCTATGTAAACCTGTCAATGGAGTATTTAGGCCCCTTACTATGAGTGTGTTTTTGTTAGTTTCTCCTTGTAGTTCCCTTAGTAATTACTTTATGTGTTTTGGTGCTCCCTGAGTGGGTGCATGTACTTTGAGAAGTATTATGTTTTCCCGATGTACTGTCTCCTTTATCATTATAAAATGTCCATCTTTGTCTCCTGTTACCTTTATCTTGAAATCTATTTTGTCAGATATAAGCATGACTGTACCTTCTTTTCTTGTGGATGCTATTTGCTTAGAGAATCTTTTTCCACCCTTTCGCTTTGTCTTTGCAGCTTAGATGTGTCTTCATAAAGCAGCATATGGTGGGATTTTGCTTTTTTTTTTTTGATACAATCTAATACTCTGGGTCTTCTTATTGGTGAATTCAGTTCATTTACATTTAGGGTGATTATCGATGTATGAAGATTTCCTATAGCCATTATAAATTTTGTTTTCTGGTAGCTCTGTACTTCCATTTATTCTTTGTGTGTGTATGTTTCTGTCTGTTGTTTTTATTTGGTGGTATTCCATACTTTTTCCCTCTCTTTCCTCAATTTTTTAAGTCATGTGTCTCAGTTTTTGTTGTTACCCCTGGAGAACTGAGTCCTATAAACCAATCAATAAATTACCATAGGAGAAACACTCCATCTATGCCAAATGTAATGTTGTCCAACTATTACCTTTTTTATGCTAAGGAAACTGTATTTCAGTTCTTCCACATTAACTTTCTAGAATACTAAGGGTTATGATGTTTCTTTTAAATATGTAAACATGGATGATTTGGTATTTTGTAGGTTTTAAAAAACATTCTATTAAGATAAAAATAAGGCCACAGCTTTTGTTTTACAACATTATATATCTTAGACCAAAGAAAATATTTTTATCTAAAATGCTATTAAATATATATCAATTTATAGGCATATATTATAAACCTGTTATTACTGAAACATTTTAATAGACTTCATTTTTCTTGAAGAAGTGATGCGCGTGGGTCCCCGGCCAGCAGTGACCACAGAACGCTGCGGATGGCTTGCCGAAAAACACGCGAGAAAAAACAACATGCACAGAGACAAACTAGTTTCTGTGGGGAAGTAGGGACGAAATGGCCACCCCCCCAGTGGGGAGCGCGCCGATTTACAGTCCATACCTGCTTTTATTGGGCTCATTCTGCATAATAATTCAGGTAAAGTACAGTACTCATTAGGGGGAAGTAAGGAAGCATAGAAAACAAAGAACTCTGCCGGTCTATTGAGTCGTAAGACTTTGAGGAACAAATTAACTTCCTCCTTGGACCCCTCTCATTCAACTGAGAGCATTCTAAACAAAGAAGGTTTCACAGTAATTTACATGTTCTTTCTTAGGCCTGATCACCCCGGGGAATCTGCACTTCTCAGCACCGAGCTGCACCACCCTGTCATTGTTTCAGGCTTAGGTGGAGCAAGGGAACTAAGGCAACTGGGAGACAAGGAAGTTTTTTCCCCAGACGCTGAGAACTCAGGCTATGTCAAAGCCGAGGAGCGAGGGTCCATCACCCCCTTTTGCTGCAGCCCCCCAAGTCCTTCTTTTGGGGGGGGCCTCCCAAAGTGATTGTGCCTGTCTTAGGTCGTTCCCCCCATGGGGAATCTTACCCGTCTTTGGCTAACCGACCAAGCTTCTTGGGGTTCAGTTATGAATAAAGCAGCAGAAGCAGCATTCTTGCCAGGGAGGTAAGCTTTTGTCTCCTTGCTGGCTTACGGTTCCAAGGGCGTTCCCCTTAGCCTTAGCCTAGGCGGGGGTTTCAGCTTCTGATACCAGTCAGGGCGGTTCCCAACAAGAAGTTTTAGAGTTACAGAAAAATTGAGCAGAAAGCATAGAGGTTCTGTTACTCCCATTATCAACATCCTGCACTTCAGTAGTGTATTTGTTTTCATTGATGAACCTGTATTGATTCATCACAATCACTCAAAGTTCATAGTTTACATTAAGATTTACTATTGGTGTTGTTTAGGCCTTTTGTTACTTTTTTTGTTCCATGGGTTTTGATAAAAGTATACTGTATAACATGTATCTGCCATTGTAGTTTCATACAAAATAGTTTCACTGCTCTAAAAATTCTCTTTGTTCTACTTATTCATCCCTCCCACCTCCCCAACCTCTGGCCACCATTGATCTTTTTTTTTTAAAAAAATATATATATTTTATTGGTTATGCTATTACAGTTGTCCCATTCACCCCCTGCATTCCCCTCCACCCTGCACACTGTCTCCCACCCACATTCCCCCCTTTAGTACATGTTCATGTGTCATAAGTTCTTTAGCTTCCACATTTCTCATACTATTCTTGCCCTCCCCCTGTCTATTTTCTCCCTATCATCTATGCTATTTATTCTCTGTACCTTTTCCCCGCTCTCTCCTCCTCCCACTCCCCTGTTGCTAACCCTCCATATGATCTCCATTTCTGTGGTTCTGTTCTTGTTCTAGTTGTTTGCTTAGTTTCTTTTTGTTTTTGTTCTAGGTGTGGTTGTTAATTGTGAGTTTGTTGTCATTTTACTGTACATGTTTTTTATCTTCCTTTTCTTAGATAAGTCCCTTTAACATTTCATATAATAAGGGCTTGGTGATGATGAACTCCTTTAACTTGACCTCATCTGGCAAGCACTTATCTGCCCTTCCATTCTAAATGAAAGCTTTGCTGGATAGAGCAATCTTGAATGTAGGTCCTTGCCTTTCATGACTTGGAATACTTCTTTCCAGCCCCTTCTTGCCTGCAAGGTCTCTTTTGAGAAATCAGCTGTCAGTCTGATGGGAATTCCTTTGTAGGTAACTGCATCCTTTTCTCTTGTTGGTTCTAGGATTCTCTGGTTAATTTTAATCTTGGGTAATGTAATTATGGTGTGCCTTGGTGTGTTCCTCCTTGGGTCCAACTTCTTTGGGACTCTCTGAGCTTGCTGGACTTTCTGAAAGTCTATTTCCTTCACCGGATTGGGGAAGTTCTCCTATGTTATTTGTTCAAATAATTTTTCCACTTGTTGCTCTTCCTCTTCTTTTTCTGGTACCCCTATAATTTGGATGTTGGAATGTTTAAAGGTGTCCTGGAGGTTTCTAAGCCTCTCATTTTTTTTTTGAATTCTTGTTTCTTCATTCTTTTCTGATTGGATGTTTCTTTCTTCCTTTTGGTCCACTTCATTGATTTGAGTCCCAGTTTCCTTCCCATCTCTATTGGTTCCCTGTACATTTTCCTTTATTTCACTTAGAATAGCCTTAATTTTTTTCATCTAATTTGCAACCAAATTCAACCAGTTCTATGAACATCCTGATTACCAGTGCTTTGAACTGTGCATCTGATAGGTTGGCTATCTCTTTGTCACTTAGTTTTATTTTTTCTGGAGCTTTGATCTGTTCTTTCATTTAGGCTGGTTTTTTGTCTTGGCAAGCCCGTTGTATATGAGGGGCGGAGACTTAGGTGTTCACCAGGGTGGGGCAACCCACAACAGTGTGTTGCAATGCTGTACGTGAGGCAGGGGTCTGAGAGTGAACAATGGCTCTTGTTCTGCTCTCTGCCAGATTTCAGTCACTTCCCCTACTTCCCTCAAGCAAATTGGGCCCTTCTGGTGTTGATTCCTGTATGGGTGGGTTTATGTACATTTTAGGACCCTGTGGGTCTCTCCAGCAAACTCTCCTGTGAGGCTGGGAGGTTCTCCCGGCACAACTCCCACAGGTGTTTTCAATTGGTATTTTGAGGCTTTATTTCCCCGTGCTGGGATCCTTGGTTGCTCAATCTGTCTTGCTCCCCAGTTTCACCTGGTTTATTTGTGCATGAATGTGGGACTGCCTGGTCACCACCAGGCAGTGACCCCCAGCCACCTTGCACACAGCACCCCTGCACAATCCACTGCCTCTCTGGGTCCACCAGCTGCCGCTTTGTGTTCCCAGTGTCCACCAGCCACCCTGCCTGGAGCCCTCTCCGTCCTGGTTCCCAAACTCTGCCCTTCCAACTGGCCTGGATGAATGTGTCTACTTTAACTCCTTGGTTGTCGGACTTCCATACAGTTCAATTTTCTGTCAGTACTGGTTGTTTTTTGTTTTTAAATTGTTGTTGTCCTTATTTTGGTTGTTCAAGGAGGCACAGTGTGTCTACCTGTGCCTCCATCTTGGCCAGAAGTCCCCTGTATACCAATTCTTACTTAGGTAACCTCAATGAGCGACATGATTCCCCTCACTTTTACCCAACAAGCTTCCACAATTAGTATCCTGTAGTATTATCTATAGTTCTTATCTGGGAATATTTTCATAGTGAGGGAGCTGTCATTTTATGCTCTTTACTTTAGGGCCTTAAACTGTTTCTACAAATTTCAAACTAATTCTGTCATACAGGCAGTTATTTGTAGGACTTAGTGTCTCAGTTAAGCTAAATACTAAATACTGTGCAAACTCCGGTGTTCCGATTCTTCTTTGACCAGTGACTTAAAACCTTGCAGCAAGACTCATAGTTGATGTAATAAAGTGCCATATTAAGGTGGCAGTAGAGTGGGGTTGTATGTGTGCCTTTCCAGGAAGTCATCCCATCTGCTAAGTGTTCATTTGAGAGAATTCTCAAAAAGTGACACAGAAATTTTTCTATTTGTAGAGCCCTGGATGACAGATACATCATTGTCATGAAGTCTAGTCTCAGGTAAGGTGAATGATCCCTCATCTCATTACTGATGTCCTTCCTTTTGTATAAGGTTGGTCTAAACACCAATGAAAACAATAATAGAGAAGCTAATAGACTTGAAAGAAACTCATTAAAAACTCAAAAGGAAAGAATGCAACTCTATATATCATTGGGGGTTCAAGTTTTCTCTAATAAAGGAAGATTCTGTGATGATGTGTGGGGAATAGTTTCTAATTCTAGTTTTTGTGGGGAAAAAGGATGAAGACAATTATTTTTTATTGTACAAGTCATCATATAGAGAAAGAAAATATAAAAATCAAATTATTTAATTATTTTGAATATAAAAATCAAATTATTTAAAGGACGAATCTGTTATCTCATAGAGCAGTCTTCAGTGTACCAGTAATACCTGCTGTTGTGTTTTGGGAGAGATAATCTTAGAAGTTTTCTGACCTTTAGAAGGAGTTTTTTTATGATAATGAGGATGTTGATAATAAAGACAAATGACTAAAAAATTTTAGCATATGAAATCCAGTTCTCATTATTCCAATTATCTTTCCTGCAACATAAGGAGGAAACAGATTCAGAAGGTTACCTAACTTGTCCAGATCACACACTGCATGGTCAGATGGATGAGATGAAATAAGAACCTGAAGACAGAAAACTGTACTTGAACAACAATTAAAATAAAATTTAAAAAAAGAAAAAAAAAAGAAATAAGGACTTGCAACTGTCAGTCTTCAAAGGTTGTGATTTTCCTGCTAAACTAGTAATGAAATTTTGCTCAGAGAATATTTAGGGAAAACTCCAGGTCCTAAGTGAGTTAACATTTTTAGTGCCTTTACTGTTTTTTTGAAAATTATATTTCTACTTTTTCTTTCTTTCTAAGAATGAGTGAGTAATGTGGCCAAATGAGTAGAAGTGATTTTTCTAGGGATCTGGCTATATAAATTTTGTGATAAATTCAAAATTATGTTCCTAAAAGTGTTCTATATTTATAATGAGTAACTAATCCAAATCTATCATATGTTCCAGAATGATTTTGCAGTCCTATTGTGGGCCAGGCTAAGACAGTCAAATTCAAAGTTAATAATAGCTTTTTCATATTAATTCCAAATAAAAACAACCATTTCTAAGCATTAAAAGTACTATGAGTGAATTTTGGTTCTATGGACCTAAGAGACTAGTTCTGACACTCACCAGTTCTATGACCTGGGGCAAATGATTTAACTTCTCTAACACTCATTTTCCAGTCTAATAACAACATGAGGCTTGGATGAGTTAATGAAAGTAAAAGTGCTCAGAGCAGTGCTTACCACTGAGTAAATATTAACTCCAATTATTATATTATTTAGATACAGTTCAATAACCTGGTTTCACAGAATATAAGCAGAGGTATATTGCACAGCATAAATTCAAAAAGTTGCTTTTGGGTCATGTCTTGAACTTCAAACAATGACAGGAGTACCAAAATAAGAATGGAAATAATCCAGTTTAGAATGTGTTTGTATAGGTGCTGAAACTGATATGAAAGTACTTGGTCTTCTGTGCTCTCTACAGTAGAAGATACTGTTGCAAAATGACAGCACTTCAATGATAGGCCAACGTCACATGGAATCAAATGAACTGGGTGGTTGACTTGGGCATTATGTTTCTTGTTAGTGTTAAATGGTGAGCTGGCCTTGGTCAGTCAGCATTTTAATCTCACAGCTGCCCCAGGCCCTTCAACATCAAAGCCCAGTTACATTCCTATTAGTTGTTTTATACAGAATGTTCAGGCTCATGCGGTTCCTGCCTTGTCAGTCAGAAGTTTCTAAGCGAACAGCATGATCTTGTTGCTGAACTCAGTATGAGTAAATCACTGATATCAGACAGTTTCAGAAAACTAATTATGCTTTCATCTTTTTAGTCTTAAAAAAGAATAATTTCTCTGAAATTATTCTGTGAAAATCTAAAAATCTGTTTTTGAGGTCTGAAATTCAAACTCAACCAATGCTATTAGTCCTGAAAATATGGGAAATGATTAATGTGTTTTCACAGAGTTTTCCAGGGAAGTGAGTAACACTAGGATGCCCCATATGAAAAGGCAGTGATAAATTGGTTTGGGGAAATGGCACAGTGGGTGCTAAATGCCAAGTCCTTGATGTGGATCCTGAGGTATGGCAAATTGCTCAGGCTTTTGGTACAATGAGGAATTGGGCATGCCTCTGCTCCCTCAATCTTCTATTAAGGACATTTCAGTTTACCTATGAGAGGGACCCAACTTAGCAGTAATGTTAGGAGCCATTTTTGTTGAGACTATTGGAACCCTCTCTGGGGACATTGATCATTGTATGACAGTTTTCTATTTAGCTTCTGATTACTTTGCTATACTTACCTCAGTGGGGTCACTAGATTTTAAGTTTTACCAAAGGAAAAACCAGTGTAATCAACAGACTTTAATTAAACCCACCTTCTGTATTTGGGTACTTGGCCTTGAAGGAAGAGGAAGTGTTTTCAGACACAGACAGCACCTTAAGGAACAATTGGGAGATATGAAAGAACATTCTGTGTTTGAGCCATTGCTAGTTGCAATGGCAACTAGTTGCCATTCAACTAGTCTGGTTTGTTAACAATATTGGGAATGGAAACACAGAGAGAGATCAGTAAAAGAGGAAAGATGGCTTTCTAGATCGCTAGAATAAAAGTGTCTTTAAAGCAAAAGTCATCTCCAACTCAAAGGCCTTCTCAGATGTGTGCTCATTTGCTCTTTTTTTCTTCACAACTTCTTCCTGTCAGTTCTATGCAGTTCTGTGGTAACTCTGGCTTTGAGTGATGGTTCTGGCATGGCTAGAGCCCTGTAAATCATGCCCACACTTACCTTCTTATTCTATATTTTTCTTTTACTCATTTTACCTGAGGCTCCCTTGACTGAATGCCACTTAACGCTTTTCAGGTACTTTGATTTCTTCTGGCTTGACTCCTAGTGCCCTTCCATTTGTTTGCTAATTTCTGATTGTTTATGCTGGATGGAGTCTCTTTCCCTGGCTTTTAGCGCTGTCTGGACCTTATTCTGCCCCCACTTTACCTGTACCTCCTCTGGTTCTAACTATATTCTCTCAGGCAGAATGAAGTCATCATATAACTTGCTATTGGCTTCAACTCCCTGCATACTGCTTTGCAGTATAATCTCTCCTATTCTCTTTTATCTCTTTAAGTTCCTCCAGGGAAGAACCTAACTCATCCTCATATGTCACATGATTGCATATAAATATTTTCAATAAGTATTTATAAAGTTGAATTCTATTTAAGAGTTGATATTTTTGTTTCCTGTTCTATCCAATAACCCATATTACTGCATTGTGTTTTATTCTGAATTTATTGATGTATTAATTGACAAATTTGTTCATATTTAAGGTTTACAACTTGATATTTTGATATATTCCTAATTTATTGATGTATTAATTGACAAATTTGTTCATATTTAAGGTTTACAACTTGATGTTTTGATATATGTATACATTGTTAAATGAGCACTATAGTCAAGCTAATTAACATATCTTTTATTTCACATAGTTACCTTTTGGGGGTGTGGTTTTTTTTTTTGGTTGTAACACTTAAGATCTAACCTCTTTATAAATTTCAGCTATACAATACAGCATTGTTAAGTAAACTGAAGTTGCTGTGCATTAGATCTCCAGAATTTATTCATCTTGCATAAGTAAGACTTTGTACCCTTTTACCAACAACAGCTCATTTCCACATCTCCCTAGCCCCTGGAAATCACCATTCTATTCTCTGCTTTTATGAGTTTGACTATTTTAGGTTTCTCATATATTTGTCTTTCTGTGTCTGGCTTATTTTACCTAGCATAGTGTCTTCCAGAATCATCTAGGTTGTTGCAAAAGGCAGGATTTCCTTCTTTTAAAGGCTAAATAATATTCCATATTATATATATGCCACATTTTCTTTTATTTCTTTCCTAGTTTCATTGGGATATTGACATATTGTATTACTTGAAGGTGTACAACACAATGATTTGTGATATGTATATATTGCAAAATTGTTACTTAAGTTGAGTTGATATTCATTACTTCTTGAAGTTATAATTTTTTCATATGATAAGAACATTTAAGATATACTCTCTTAGTGACTTTTAAAATCAATACAGCATTGTTAACTATAGCCACCATGTTGTACATTATATACCCAGAATTACTTATCTTATAATGGAAAGTTTGTACCTTTTGACCACTTTCACCCATTTCCCCCACATCCCACTCCATTCTTCTGGCAAGCACCAATCTGTTCTCTGTTTCTATGAGGTTTTTTTTTTTATTATTCTATGTAAGTGAGATCACACAGACTTATCTTTCTCTGACTTTTTTCACTTAGTGTGTGTCCTCTAGATCCACCCATGTTGTGGCAAATGGAAGGATTTCCTTATTTTTCAGAACTAGATAATATTCCATATCTTTATCCACATCTATTTTTATGTTGATGGACACTTAGGTTGTTTCTATGTTTTGGCTATTTTAAATAATGCTGAAATGAACATGAGGTTGTGTATATCTCTTCAACATAGTTGTGTTATTTCCTTCAGATATATTCTCAGAAGTGGAATTGCTGGATCATATGGTAGTTCAGTTTTTTTTTTTTATTTTCACCCAAGAACATGTTTATTGATTTTAGAGAGAGGGAAAGAGGGGGGAGAGAGGTAGAGAAACATTGATATGAGAAAGAAACATCTATTAATTGGTTGCCTTTCATATGTGCTCTGACCAGGGACCAAACCTGCATGTTTAGGCATGTGCCCTGACTGGGAATTGAACCAGTGACCTTTTGATTTAGGAGGTGACACTCCAACCAACTGAGCCATATTAGCAAGGGCCGGTAGTTCCGTTTTTAATTTTTGAGGAACCTCTATGCTGTTTACTACAGTGACAGTTTCAGTTTACATTCTCACTAACAGTGCACGAGGTTTTCTTTTTCTCTATTCCTCACCAACTTTTGTTTTATTTTTTAGATGATAGTTATTTG